AATAATGAACAACAACCTCATCAAAATGTTCATGGGCACTGTTTGCCATCTACAACTGTTATTAATGCTTGGATGACACAATTTAAGAAATTTAGGAAAAAGCACCAAATCCACTGCAAAAAGTTAACAAAAAGACGAATTCATCATCAAGAATATAAGTAAGGAGAAATTCTCTGATAGCAATTTCACAAGAATTGTATTTACACTTAAATGGAGGATATGTAGAGACATAGATTTGCGACTTTTATGGGTAAATTTGTTTTAGAACTTTAGAACCTATATTGCAGTTCAAACCCACAATACAATGCTCTATTGAGTTTTAATTTAAACAGCAACACAGGTGCACAGCACTTTAAGGGTTGTTTTTTTTTTTTTTTGACTGTGAAATGCTTCACAGTCAACATTTTACTTACTGGAGGCGCCTTTGTGTTATGAAGTGTGAAACCCACCAGCACCGTGCTGTTTCACTGGCAAATTGCACCACGCGGGCCCTCAGCGAGTATCGGGTCTCTAAGCACACATGGCACACGCTGAATGCAGGACCCAAGCTAAATAAATCATCAACCATCCCTCACAGTCACAGACAGCCACATCCAACAGTTAGAACAGAGAGAAAAGTCGACAAATTTAAAGGGACGGGGGAAAAAAATCACAGCTTTAGTCCATCTGTTTCCAACACTGCAGATGCCAAGACAGTAAAACAGAAGAGGAAAGCAGAAACGTGCTGAATAGGAAATGAAGGCAAACGCTGACAGAGGGCTTACGAACCTGCCAAAAGGACTCATACATTGTGTTTAAAGTCACTCTCTGCCCTGATTTAACTTGGACCCTGTGCCCTCTGCATCAATCATGATAATCAGCATCACGGTTGGTAAGCAGCAGACTGTGTTAAACTGTGTAAAATGACAAGAAGGTTGCTTTTTTCCATCTGTTCACATACTGCAGAATCAAAAGGAGGAGGAGAAAGAGGAGATGTAGATGTCTTTTAATCTGCCCCCTCCCTCGAAGGACTAAACAGTCAAAGACATGCAATTTGAATATAAACCTAGAATGTCTAGAAATCTGTCTGAGGGGGGAATACTTGAGGGGAACAAGAGACAAAAGAGAAGTGGCAAACAGCCAGGAGGAGAGAAAAGGAAGCAGGAGAGGAAGCAGGAAAGAAGAAGATGAAGAAGCAAAGAAAGGATAGGAGATGTGAGCAACGACATGGGGGAAGTGTGAAGAAGGGGAGAAAAAAGAGAATAGGAAAACTGGAAGACTGGAAGGAAGAGAGGAGGGGACGATAGAAGAGGAG